AACTCAACTGGCCCTTCACTACCATCACGCGCTGACTCTGTGGTGGAGGCACAGAAATACCGGCGGAAATTCATTCCATCTTCTGACCTATTTCCAACTGCACACACTCCAAAGCTCTCAATCGACAGGGCGCAGCCTGGCTCATGCTGTTCATCTCCAGCACTTTGGAGTCCTGCGAAACCGCGGGCACACTCACTCAGTCCTAACTTCCAAGCACCAGCCGCTCGCCAACATGGCTCACAACTCACGTCCTCCTACTCACAACCCCACACAAAAAACTCTACGCTCGACACACTCGCCAGGTGCCTGTGAATCTCTCCCAGCTACCTAGGAGCCAACACGGAGACATCCGCTGAAGCCCGCGCGAACACCACGTTCGCCGGACCCCACACCGCACGCACCACTCAACTCTCAGCTGGCGACCGCACGTGCACAGCACATCCACTCTCAAACCAAACGAAAAAAACTCAAGTGACACACGCTCGACCCCACTTACACCACCCTCGCACCAATCGCATTTCACCCTCCGGCGATACAGCTTCCGCCTTTGTGATTAATGCAGGTGGGATGACATCAGAGGAGCCTACTTTCTGGGCTGTAATCTCCTAGGGCCAGAAACTCAAGATGATGTTTTGTAGACCTAAACTTATACTAAGGCAATTTCATAGAAGACTGGCTGGCATCTCCAGGAAATTTGGAGGCATGTGGCCATTTCCTAGAGGAGCTGTTTTAAGTACAGACACAAAATTTAGAAGTTACTGAGGTTTGTTCAGGCACTCATTTCTCCAAAAGCCAAGGTTGGTTTTCTGTTTGTTTGTTTGAGAGGGAGTCTTGCTCTGTTGCCCAGGCTGGAGTGCAATGCTGGGATCTCAGCTCACTGCAACCTACGCCTCCGGGGTTCAAGAGATTCTCCTGCCGCAGCCTCCCGAGTAGCTGGGATTACAGGCGCCCGCCACTACGTCCAGCTGATTTCTGTATTTTTAGTAGAGATGGGGTTTCACCATGTTAGGCTGGTCTCGAACTCCTGACCTAAGGTGATCCGCCCGCCACGGCCTCCCAAAGTGCCAGGATTACAGGCGTGAGCCACCGCACCCTGCCGCCAGGGTTTTTTGTTTGTTTTTGTTTTTGTTTTTTGTTTTTTAACGTAGTGTTGTTGTTGTTGTTTGTTTAATTTTCTCAATGAGGTCCAGTGAAGGAACCAGGAACATGTATCTCCTCCACAATATGAGGATTTATACTTTTGCTCTTGGAGATGTTTGCAGGCACCTGAGAAGGCTCCTTGCTCAATTCTTCCTCTAAGGTCCTTAATGGGGTTTTACAACCTGGTCTTGCAATCTCTCACTGGGGGAGACAAGAAAGGTCCGTGTTTTCCTTTTGTGAGCCTCATTCTCCCACCTCTGGCAAGGATACGTTTTTCCAGGTTTTGTTGTTGTTGCTGAAGAAACTGGGAGTCCCAGGAGCCACAAGAGAAAGCTGTAATTTGGGGCCACCTCTAGTGTTCCAGTTCCAAACTTGGCAGGCTGGGCAGCACGCTGGTTTAACATGAGCAAGCAGCAGCAGGCTCCTCCCTACTGCTCTGAGCGGGGGTTGAGGAACACTCCTGGAAAGTCCGTCTAGTAAAGGGATCCTAGAAATAGGACACACAGAAGGAAAACAAAAAGACATCCAAAAAAAGTCTATTTCCGAGAGATAGGGAATGGTAGCGTGGAGGAAAGATCAACAGACCGGAGAGAGAAGAGAGGCCAAGGTTCCAACAAGGAGGGAGAGCCTTGTATAGCGTGAAGCCCCAAACCATGAGCTCGGGACAGATACACAGAGCGAGGAGAGGGTGGCTGCTAAATTCTAACTCCACCAGTGACAGTGGAGGTTTGTGAAGGACCAAGCCCGTGGAAACTGTGTAACTGAGTTATTATTCTGGGAAACCGGCCTGAGCTTTCCTTTCTTCATCCAGGAAGCCCAGCTAGCTTCATTGCGAGAGGGAAGAGAAAAAAATTTCAGCACTGACCACAAGGTGGCGCCAGACGCCCGTGGATGTAATGGGGTCTTCCCCTCCTGGTGAGCTCCGGAAGCTGGCGATGGGATCAAGTCCTCCAGATTCAAAGGAAACCAAGAGGTCTGCACGCCCGGAAAGGTACTCTAGCCTAAGGATAATATACTGCACACGGAAAATAATAAAAAACATCTTTATTAAAGAGACGGGGAGGGTTGGCCCAGAGACTAGACCGGCAGAGTCTGCAACCCTTCTGTGAAGGGAACTTAAAAGACTTTTCCACCGAACCCCTTGACAGGACAGGGAGAGCCAAGCTGGGAAAGACTGGACGTTAAGGGGCAGAGAGGAGCCTTTAGAGGAGAAAAAATGCCCTCTGACTGATGGATTTGCATTTACTGGTATTCTTCATTGACACGATAAACGAGTCGATAAGCCCAACACGATTGAATAACAAGTAGAAATGCGTTCTATTAGATTCATCTTCTCTGAGAATGCATTATGGTAGCTTTGCTCTTCTTGGGTGTCATGGACTGATGACTTTTCAAATATATGGTATCGATTGTGCCAGCCAATATTCTCCTTCTGGTGCTTGTATTGTCCCAACTTTGGCCAGGAGGAGCCCTGTATAGATTGTTCCTTTTGTAATTTTGAATGACCCTTATTTAACGCTTTGCTTTCTGTCCCAAAAAGGTATAGGCGTTCTAGGATTACCTTGTACCTTTCAACTCCAAACTGAGATGGCATCCACTACTGCTCCAAGAAACTTTGGCTCCTTTGGGAGAAAACTAACACTAGAAACCAAAATCAGCATTAAGATGCATTGCGGAGGTGACATTTCTCCTGGGCCATTTTAGTGGGAAAAAGTCAAAATATTTTTAATGTAATGTTTTGTAAAGACATGACTTCATATTAATATGTTTGATTCAGTACCAACAGTACCCTGTTCTTAGTCAAATTTGAAACCTACAATAGCCTTCCTTGTGACTAATCCTGAAGTCTAGATTCTTATCAAAATATGCAAAATATATATTATTTACTTGCTTTATCTGATAATAGTTGCAAAAAATACGCTATCAATACAAACAGTATAGATACTGAATAAAGTTTTTGTTTTAGACTACATACACCTAAGTATTTGTTGCCAAATTACTTTGTTCTAGAATCTCTCATAATATCTCACACCATGTGACTATGCAGGGACTTATCTGACAGATACTTCTGGGTCCATTGTTTCCATCCACTTTCATTTTGAAGAGGCTGCAACCTGCCCCCAGCCCCTGCTTCCTGCTCTACCTTTTCATTTTATCGTGACTTACAAACTCCCAACATACTAAATAATTCACTTAATAATAATACTTTGTTATTGTGTTATTACTTCTCCCTTACCCCATTGGAGTGTAAGCCTCATGGAGCAGGGATTTTATTCACTGGACCCTGGCAGTTGCACCCTAAAGGCAGGACTAAGAAAGCTGGGCTTGATTCTGGGGGCTCAGTGGACTCTACTGCGTTGGGCTGCAAGAGAGAGTCTTCACTGAAACAGCAGAAGCTGCTGTAGGCCGGTCCCAGATACTCATTCCCCCCAGCGCGCACACACACACACACACACACACACACACACAAGTATTTCCCCAGTTCCTGCAGGACTCATTGAGAGGCTGTGAAAACAAAGCAAACCAATAGTGCTGAGCCTGAGCCCCTGGACTCGGTGACTGGGCATCTGGAGGGTTGGAGCTTCTAGAAAAAAAGAGTGTGGCAGGAAGCTGTGCCTTATGATGAGTGACCCGGCTCCTGGTTTGCCCAGAGGAGTCCTGGTTTACAGCTGTGGTCCTGCTGTAATAACTAATCACATTCCTTTTCACTCATGTAAGTGTCCAGGTGTAGGGATAAATGCATTGGAGGGGCAGGGAGGAGGCCTGGGGACTTGGGACAGAAGTGCTCCAGGGGAGAGGGAACAGCCAGCTGTAGAGGAGGCAGCCCCTCCACCACTGGGGGCTGGCAGGTCTGGTGCATGGCTGGGGCTCCATAAATGTATGTTCAGGGTAAGGGGAGACAACAGAAGAATCAAAATAAATTTCTGTGTACCTATAGATGCCAAAAAATGGATGGGCACTAGGACTAGTTGTGAGAGACTCAAGCAGAGGGAGGTCACGGTCCTTTCTCAGTTCTGGGCCTGGGCTGGGACAGAAGGATAGTGCCCCACCACCACCCCACCATAAGGGGGCAGGAAGAAAGAGGAGGGAGGGTGATGACTGGTATAGTAATAAGGTCTTTGTTTTTGCAAACTGAAAGTGTGTTTCCAGTTTGGGTCAAATATAAAATTAGCACACACACACTAACAAACAACACACAGAAGCATACAAAATAATACAAAGGAAAAGAAGGAACAGGTCTTCAGCGATCTCATGCTCCTGGAGAGACCCCTCCAGGTGGTGAAGGGCTGTGGGCTTCTGGGGAAACACCCCGTTGATGCAGTTAGACTGTCCCATCACTGGGCTGGCTGGAAAGGGCCCAGGAAGTAGGGGTGAAGATAAACCAACTCAGAGGCTCCAGAGCTTCAAGGGGGTTAGAAAGCGAAGCACAGGCCCTGCCCATCAATCCCTTCACCCCTCAAGAAGTTTCCTCCCCTCATTCCTTCTCTGCGGTTGGCTCTTTCTTCACCTGGTGGGGAAAAGGGGTGGGGAGAGGCATCCAGAGGTAGGTCCTAAATGAGCGGACTAAGAGGGGCTGGGGATACCCTGAGGAAGCTGTCAAGGAAAAGAGGGTTCCCCAGGGATTTCCCGTGGGGTGGGGCCTCCAGGAAAGGCCTAGGAGAACCCTGACCAGGTGAGGCTTATGCCAGCTGCCTCGGTTGGGGTTTTCATGCAGCCAGAGGCTGCCCCCAACCAGGCAGCCCTGGACTCTGGATTCCTGGGGCTGCTCCTCCCCTGTCCCCACCCCCACCCCCAGTCCTCTTGATCAAAGGTGTCCATTGGAGTCTCTCTGGACTTGAGGTTGACAATGTAACTAGAACTTTAAAGACCACTTTTGGCCAGGGTGGCCCCTTTTTATTTGCTAAATTCTGTACTTTAGCAACTCTACAGGAAAAAAGGAGCACAACAAACATGCACATGTTACTGACTTCTGCATTCTTGTCGCATTGCACACATACATTTCTCCTGCTGTCTGCAGTGTGCACACACTGTCAACACTTTACAGTAGTTCATGGATCCTCTGTGTTCATGCACATCCCATTTTCAGTGCAGCTGTGACCTTCCTCCAGGTCACCTACTGTAGAGCTCACTGAGCCATTCCCCTCTGCACCGGCATTGGGCTTGAAGTGAACTCAACACCATTGCTCCCATGCTTCCTTTTCTCTCAAGGATTCTTCTGGGAAAGTGGGCTCTCCAAGCCACCCAGTGTGTAGAGTCCTTGATCATTCTTATCATACATTTATGTCCTGCTCTCCAGAAACACTGAATCAGTCAGACTTTAGAGTGTCGCCAGTTTCCCTCTAGCCTTGCAAGTGCTGAGTGTATATATGTGTACGTGTGTGTATAGAGAGAGACTCTGTGTCTGTGTGTTTAGCAGGTGTGTAGGTAATTCCCCCATTACAGATGAGAAAATTTAGGACCAAAGGGATAAAGTCACTTCTCCCAGGGTTGCTCAGCCAGCAAATGGCAGCCCCCAGTCTAGAGGTCACATCTCCTAAGTCCCAGTCAGTGTTCTGTTAGACAAACCACCCTGCCTCTGGTGGTTGCTTCTAGACTTGTAGACAACAGGCTCTTCCTACTTCTCTCATCCCTTGTCTGTGTCGGAAAACAGAAACACGACTTGTCCCCTCATGGTTTCCATGTCATGTAGACCAGTTTCTCGGCTTCACCTGGGCCCTTCCGCAAGCCTATGAGATCCAGGCCCTGAGGAGTTCCTCAGGAGACATCACAGCTGTGGCACAAGCATCCACCTCCTCCCTTCTGCAGCTGATTAACTTCTGGGGTGAATTGGTTATTTTCTGAAAAATAATTTTCATTGATATTCATTAAAGGATAGTAGTAGTAATAGTAAAGAATATTATTAAAAGTTTAACTATTTGATTAATTAATTTCCAAGAAGCAAAAACAAAAACCGAAAAACAATTTCAACCCCTAGATGAGGGGCTTCCAACAGCTGCTAAGATTATCTCCCAGTTCACTACCCCGCAGTTCCCTTAAAGCCCTGCTTGGTCAGAGTTCCTCATTCTAAGACCCTGCCCCACAAAAACCCAGAATGTAATTCTCGTTCTTAGAAAAAAATTTAAAGGGAGGTGCGATGGCTCACACCTGCCTTGGGAGGCTGAAACAGGCAGATCGCTTGAGCCCAGGGCTTAGAGACCAGCCTGGGCAACATAGCAAGGCTCCCTCTCCACAAAAAATAAACTGGCCAGGCATGGTGGCACACGTCTGTGGTCTCAGCTACTCATGAGGCTGGGACAGGAGGATCAATTGAGCCTGGGAGGTCAAGGCTGCAGTAAGCTCTGATCACACCACCGCACTCCAGCCTAGGTAACAGAGCAAGACCTTGTCTCAACAACAACAAAAACAACAACAACAAAACCCTAACTTTCTTCCACCAGAGAGCTCTGAGAATTATGACCTGGTCTGAGATGCTTTATGAACAGCACCTAGCATGGTGCCCAGTACAGAGAGGATGTTCCATAAATGGGAGTCCCTTCCTTGCTCATATATCAGGTTCCCGCCATCTTCTCCCAGTGGCCCCAGGAGACAATCATTACTAGTTATAAACATGCAGACATCAACTTTTCAGATGGACTCTCCCACCTATTACTCACCTGCTCACCTCTGCCAAAATCTCTAAGTTCTTCTACAGTTATCTCTCTTGGCCCTTCCCCTCATTGAGGGTACCACCTGGGCACAAATAGGCACAGTGGTTTCCTCCACCTCAGTTCCTCAGGAGGCATCAGCTTCATTGAGCCAGTCTCCCTTCATCCTTGTTGGCAAAATGGCAACTATAGAGACTCACTCCTGGTGTCCATGGGCAAATGCCAACAGGAAGAGACAACGCACAAGCAGCGCTCACTAAGCAGGGGTGTTAGTGTGAAGGCCCTCGACTCGCTGCTGCCGGTGCAGTCAGATTCTCAGGACACTAACTCCCTACATCTGCAGTGGTCATACATGATTATTTTTTAAATTCCAAAACAGTGCTGTCTAATAGAAATATAATGTGAGCCACATATGCAATTTTTAAAATCTAGTAGCACATTTTAAAAGTAAAAAGAAACAGGTGGAACTAATTTTAATAATTTATTTAACAAATATATCCAAAATATTATCAATTTAACATGTCACTTAAAAAATGACTGAAATATTTTATAAACTTGTTTCATTCTGTCTTCAAAATCCATTCCGTATTTTATATTTACAATACATCTCAATTTGGACGAGCCACATTTCTAGTGTCTAACAGTCACATATGACTAGTGGCTACTGTACTAGACAGTGCAGTTCTAGCACATTAAAGTAAAACAAACAGCATAATCTCAGAATTTTGGAAGGTGCAAAACTGTGGTCCCACAGTTTAGTACTAATTTTCAAGCAAAGCTCAGCATATTTTGTAAAACTGGAATCAGTTTTCAACATTTGAAAATGGAGAGATTTCTCATAAAAATCTAGGTTTCTGGGCTTCTCATTTAAAGCTTGGAAATCTGGCAGCACTGGCTCACACTTCCTCTTGGTAGCAACCTGCTGTCACTGAGAAGATGAAACATATTTGCCATGATCCCCATCCCCCTCCCTCTTGAGTTACATTCATTACACTACAGGTTCTTTCCTTTTTTTTTTCTTCTTTCCAGTGCCTGTGTGGACTCAGAGGCATGTGAGTTCACACAAACTCCACTTTCTATGAAGCATGTAAGGTCACACTTGGATGGGTCATTGAAGAATTACTAATTTGGGGCCATCTTTATGCTTGCTACCTACATTACAGCAGAATGTGACAGCAAGAAGAGAAAGAATAAAATGAGTCACAGAAAGGAAACGGAGACCCTTTAGCACCAAAGCACCCATTCCCATGAAGCAATTATGGATGAAAGACAAAGAAAATAAATTATATTTTTAAACAGAGAATATATACTGGGCAGAATTAATATAATTTTCCTTGCATATATAGTTTTTCTTTAGATTGTTACTTGGTGGGGTAGCATTCCAAGATGGCTGAATAGGAACACTATGGTCAGCAGCCCCCAGCGTGATCAACGCAGAAGATGGGTGATTTCTGCATTTCCAACTGAGGTACCTGGTTCATCTCATTGGGACTGGTTGGACAGTGGGAGCAGCCCATAGAGAGCGAGCTGAAGCAGGGCAGGGCATTGCCTCACTGGGAAACACAAGGGGTTGTGGGATTTCCCTTTCCTAGCCAAGGAAAGGCGTGACAGACTACCTGGAAAAATGGGGAACTCCCACCCAAATACCGCACTTTTCCCAAGGTCTTAGCAACCAGCAGACAAGACGATTCTCTCCTGTGCCTGGCTCGGCAGGTCTCATGCCCCGGGAGCCTTGCTCACTGCTAGCACAGCAGTCTGAGATCAATCTGTGAGGTGGCAGCCTGGCTGGGGGAGGAGCGTCTGTCATTGCTGAGGCTTGAGTCGGTAAACAGAGCCAGGAAGCTCGAACTGGGCAGAGCCCACCACAGCTCAACAATGCCTACTGCTTCTAGACTCCACCTCTGTGGGCAGGGCATAGCTGAACAAAAGGCAGCAGACAACTTCTGCAGATGTGAAGAGAGCAGTTGTTCTCCCAGCACGGCATTTGAGCTCTGAGAACGGACAGACTGCCTCCTCAAGTAGGTCCCTGACCCCTGTGTAGCCTAACTGGGAGACACCTCCCAGTAGGAGCCGACAGACACCTCATATAGGCAGCTGCCTCTCTGGGATAAAGCTTCCAGAGGAAGGATCAGGAAGCAATATTTGCTGTTCAGTAATATTTGCTGTTCTACAGCCTCCGTTGGTGACACCCAGGCAAATGGTCTGGAGTGGACCTCCAGCAAACTCCAACAGACCTGCAGCTGAGGGACTTGACTGTTAGAAGGAAAACTAACAAACAAAAAGGAATACCATCAACATCAACAAAAAGATCATCTACAGCAAAACCCCATCTGTAGGTCACCAACATCAAAGACCAAAGGTAGATATAACCACAAAGATGGGGAGAAACCAGAGCAGAAAAGCTGAAAATTTAAAACATCAGAGCACCTCTTCTCCTCCAAAGGATCACAGCTCCTCGGCAGCAGTGTTATAAAGTTGCGTGGAGAATGACTTTGACGAGTTGACAGAAGTAGGCTTCAGAAGGTCAGTAATAACAAACTTCTCCAAGCTAAAGGAGGATGTTGAAACCCATCGCAAGGAAACTAAAAACCTTGAAAAAAGATTAGACGAATGCTAACTAGAATAAACAGTGTAGAGAAGACCTTAAATGACCTGATGGAGTTGAAAACCATGGCACAAGAATTTTGTGACACATGCACAAGCTTCAATAGCCAATCAGATTAAGTGGAAGAAAGGGTATCAGTGATTGAAGATCAAATTAATGAAATAAAGCAAGAAGACAAGGTTAGAGAAAAAAGAGTAAAAGTAAAAGAACAAAGCCTCCAAGAAATATGGGACTATGTGAAAATACCAAATTTACATTTGATTGGTGTAACTGAAAGTGATGGGGAGAATGGAGCCAAGTTGGAAAACACTCTTCAGGGTATTATCTGAGAGAACTTCCCCAA